TTTTTTTTAAAGATTTTATTGGGGAATTGGGGGAAGGGGAACAGACAAGTTGCTGTCCTTTTGTTCTTCAGTCTAGTTGTGGAGGGTGATGCTTCACTAGCCCATGTTGGTTTTGTGATCATTGTGCTCTTCCCGGTGAGGCATATCGGTCACTGGCCTCTGGTCGGCCGCTCATGGTGACTCTTGGCAGCTCACACTGGCTGCCAGCCACACAGGGTAGCTCATGGCATCCCACTGCAGCAGGAGCTGCAGCCTAGCCATCGCCGGCTACTCATGGCAGCCCAGCCCCAGGTCGAGCTGTTGTTCAGCATCTTAGCTGTAGAGGGCAGTGTCACTGGCCCTCATGTGGGATCTGAACTGGGGCCCTTCTGCTCAGAGCTGGTGTCCCAAGCCAGTTCTTAACCGACGTACCACTCAGCCGGCCCCTTGGGGGTTTTATTTTTAATGGTGTAAATTCTTTAAGTTGAAAACTCTGAATTTTTCCTAGAATAGTATTTAAATGAGACTATGGTCTAAATCTTCTTTTATCCAGTACTGGTTTTAGCCAGACATCAAGGGCTCTATCCCAGGGTCTCTGTGTTTATAATTTATCTTGTCATCCATCCATCCATTCCTTATCTCTAAAACTAAATGATTTGACTTAATGCTTTTGGAACTCACAGAATTGGCTGCCATTCTATAGAAAGAAAGGATAAACTGATCCACTGATTAGAGATTAGCAATTGTCTACTGGAGATGCTATGTATAACTGCTGCTCAGTAGGCTTGTAGTTCAAGTCCAGATGATCTCATAGAACTGTACCTGTCTCATAGAAGGTCCTCTCCAAGAGGCAACACATCCATCTGCCACATGTCCAAGAAACTGTAGCGTGGCCTCCCATTTCTGAGCCACTCAGGTTTTTTCTTAATGTGTTATAGGTAATATAAACCCTTCTATGGTGGACAGTGAAAAAGTTATAAAAGAATTAATAATTAAGATAGTAAACAGCAACTTCAATAGCTTAATTGCAGAGTTTTCAGACTTACCTTTCCTAAATACCTATATACATATTCTCAGTTAACCCTACCATCTGTTCTGCTCTCTTGGAAGACAAACAAGATACAGCATTGATGGAGTCTTTTAGCACCCTTAAATGTATTCATATACCCATTTGTTCTGTTTAACAGTTATAACAATAATAATGTTTATATTGTCTGGGTATTCTTGAATTCATTTTAAAAAGATTCAATATAGAATCCAATACTGTCTATTTGTTGTATTTAGATGTTCTTTGAAGAGTCATTGCTTAAATTTTGGGGCTTCTTTGAACTTCTTATTTTTAAGATAATGAAATTACTAGTCAGCTTTAAATTTTACCGAAATTCTTTGTTTATATTTCATAAACATTAGAGAGATTATTGTTAATATTGAAGTAGTGAATTTTTTTTCCTTCATTTTTAAATATTTACTTCAAAGTTCATATAATGTTGTTCTATGACTTTGTTAGCTTTATTTAACTAAATAAGTCTATCCTATAATACACTTTAGATGTCTTCTAAATTTTAAGATATTTTGCCAAGTTTTTAAAATTAAAGATTCTTTGTATTGTGCTGAGTGGAGTACATCAGACAGATAAAGACAGATGCAATGTGATTTCACTTATATGTGGAATCTAAAGAACAAAATAAACAAAACAGAAACACACTTATGGATACAGAGAACATTTTGATGGTTGCCAGATGGGAGGGGTGTTTGGGGTAGATATTAAGGGGGAAGATATTAAGAAGTACAAATTGGTTGTTACAAAGTAGTTACAGGGATGTAGGATATAGCATAAGGAATATAGTCAATACTGTATTAACACATATGGTGTCAGATGGGTACTAGATTTATTAGGGTGATAGATGGGGGGGCTAGAGGGCAGGATGAAAAAGGTGAAGGCATTAAGGAATACAAATTGGTAGTTACAAAATCGTCATGGGGAGGTGAAGTAATGCATAGGGAAAATAGTCAATATTATGGTGATAACTATGTATAGTGCCAAGTGGGTACTAGACTAGTCAGGGCTATCACTTCGTAAATTATATAAATGTCTAACCACTATGCTGTACACCTGAAATTAATACAAAATAATATTGAATGTCAACTATAATTGAAAAGTTTTAAAGGGGAATAAGAGGTTCAAATTTCTAAGTGTAAAACAAATAAGTGTAAAACAAATAAGTCATGGGGATGTAATGTACAGCATAGGGAATATAGTCAATAATATTGTTAGTGTGTGGTACAGTGTCAGGTGGTTGCTGGACTTACCATGGTGATCACTTCTTTAGGTATATAAATATTGAATAACTATTGTGTACACCTGAAACTAATATAATGTTGTATGTTAGCTATATTTTAATAAAAATCTTAAAAAAAAAGATCTTTTGTAGTTTATCTTGTTATGCATTTAAATATGTTACAAATCAAGTAGGTTAAGGTATTCATGTGACTCCATATTTCTAGTTTTTTAAAAATAGCCATATTCTAAAACAAAAATCTTCTACTAACATCCAAACAAAAAGCAGTCATGAATCTTTTTATTTGATAACAGTAAGCTCACCTATCACAATAAAAATCATTCAAGGAGAATAGTTTATAGGTATGATTTTTCTACCTTTTAATTTTTATTTTTCTATCTTTCAATTTCTGTTTGTTCCTTTCCTAAGCATAAATGCTCTTTTGGAGGTTAAATCAGTCAACCAGTATTTATTGGAAGTATTTTATATGGAAGGCACAGAGCAAGCTGTTGTGAGATTCCCAGATTATTTTAAGATGAGGTTTCTGCCCTATCTACTTAGAGAGGTAAGACATATTTACATCAAAACATAACTAGTGATTCTAGGTGATTAACGAAAAGCGTTAGATTCTTTCAAAAAGTTTGTTTTACATACTTTATAGATAAGTATTTTATTCTGCCTCCCCTTCTTGCCCTATTTAATACACGGAGTGAAATTGTGGTCAGAAAGTTAAAGTGAGCTTTCAAGCTTTCTTCTTTATTGAAAACATTTATTGAGTGCCTGTTACTTCCTGTGCCAAACACTTGGCTAAAGACTTTAATATTATCTTTAATCCTTCTAATAACTTTGTGAGGTAGGCATTTTCATTCCCATTTTATAGATGAGTAAGTTAAACCTAGAGAGTGGAAGTAACTTGCTCAGAGCCACCCTGCTAATTATTAATGGCACCAGGATTTGAATATTGCAGTGAGCTTAATTCAGTGGCTTTGTTCTACTTATGTCATGTTATCAGTATTGAATCGTGGTTCTGTTCCATGATGATAGAAAAAGCTATGTGAGTGAAGAAGGGTACTAAAGATTACAGTTATGAAAAACAAAAGCCAAAAGGAGAACTGGGTCTTTATTTACTACTACAAGATACTAAATATTCTACATAGACTTAATTCTTAATAGGTTGCTTATGTGCTAATATAATTCCATGGGTCTCTTAACCTTAACTATAGAAAATTTTAGGAGATGCTATGTTTTAATCCTAAATATGAAAGGCTTGAATATAATGATAATCTATGATCTATTTTTATTATGTTTTAAAGTTTGCAATATTACATGAATAATTGAATATTATGTCCTGTTAAGTACTACTAATAAAATTAATCACTAATAACAGTAGTGAATACTCAGGATTAAAGACTACTTACGTTTAATAAAAGATTTAAAGAACTTAATCATTAAAATCTAGTTAATCAGATACCTGTCATACCTAATAGAGACTGGGTTTTTGTTTCAAATTCCTTTCTAGTCTCCAACTTTTGTGACATTACACTGGACCTCTTTCATCAAAATTTTTTATTAGGTAGGATTGAACTTCAGGTTTAAATCTTACTGTTTTGTTTTTTTCAAGATAGCCTGGTTCACTGTCACTGTTTTTGAAACTGAAATATATTTGGGGCAAAGAGGCACAAAATGTGTAGGTGACTGAGATATTCTCCTTGCTCAGAGCAGCCCCAACTGCTATGCTACGCTTCTGGTAGATTCAAGCTCCGACCTTTCACAGGTACTGTGATTCTTCTCGTCTGGCTCAAACACCAGTAAATGAGCAACAACTGCTGTAGTGCCTCTGCCCGTCTCCAAGCAGACAGCATCTTCATGGCTTCTTTAATATACTTTGCCAGTGAAGCTAGTGGTGTCCATATGTAAGATCTACCTGGTCAATTAAATGTTAATGGCAGATGTCTCCAGCCAGGTGTTTTCAGTGTCTCCTTTACAGGTAAATGGAAAAGTCATTTATATTGTCTTTGTTGCAGCGTTCTTACTTCCGCACTCTTCTCATGTATGGATTCCACTTTCTGGTGTGGTTCCTTTGTGTCAAAGGAATCAAGGACACACAATGTGGGTTCAAATTATTAACTCGAGAAGCAGCTTCACGGACGTTTTCATCTCTACACATTGAACGATGGTAGGTTTCTAACTGGAATGTATCTGGTATGTCTTATTATTCAGCAGTTATTTCAGATAATGAGAAGCATAGTGAACATCCAGGTTTAAACAAATTGATGCTTATATATGTAAACTTACCTGTGCCTTATACTATTACTGGGTTGGGTCTTATTTTGAAAATCTCAAACCAAACATCAGACATAAAGTTATGAATTCACTTTAATTATGGACAGAACAAATTGAGAGGCCTGAAAACTTCCTGCTTCCTTTTTTTCTTTGAGGGAAAAAATAAAAAGCTCAGAAATATCGAAGCAGAAAAGGGCACCATTTTTCTCTCCTTTTCTTCCTTTTACAGGAATAAGCTCTCCCTCCTGCCTAAGACCCATCCTTCAACCTCTGCATGCATCCCCTTCCACCTGTTAAGAACATAATCCTATTTGCTTATTTTTCTCTCTTCTACATTCAGCCTTTCCCAGCCACATCTTTCTCATTGCTTTCTAAAACAAGTTTAAATTTCTCTTGCCATTAAAAAGAAAACCTCTCTATTGACACCCCTTCCCCAGGGGTACCTACCCCAGTACCCCCCCTGCTCTAGCTGACGGTTTTCCCTGAGAGTGGTCTGTATTCACTGCTTGTTTTCTCCTCTCACACTCCTCACCCCATTACATGGATTTCCCCTCATCCCTCCATCTAAACGTCTGGTTACCCTCATGTGATTAAATCCAGTGGTCATGTTTAATACGACCACTCATTATTCTAATTAACCCGTCAGCAGTGTTGATCCTTTTGAGCGCTCTGTTTTAAAATATGCTGTTCCCTCGGCCCATCTTTAGCCCCGACCTCTCCTCAGTTCTCAGCCTATTTAGTGAATAACAGTTACACAAAAGCTTGAAACCTTGGGAGTCAGCCCCTCCATATATCCATTGCATGACCAAGGCCTGTGGACTTTAGCTTTTATGTCCCTCCATTTCTCTTCTATCTTCACCACTGCCATCCAGGACATAATCATTTCCTGTGCTGCAGCCTAAAGGGACTTTTCAAAAATTAAAAGTGATCCATCAAATGCACGTCTTCCGCTTACAGTCTTTCCGGGGCTTCCCATGGCCCTGAGAAGGACGCGGGTACGCAGTATCCACACTGATTGCCTAGCGTGGCCTACCTGGGTCTGCACATGCGGACTCTCCCCTTCTCGCCACCGCTCTTCTCAACTTTAGAGCACCCTGAGGACATCCGGCCCTCACTCTCCCAACTAGGTCAGACGCCCCTAGTTGTACACTGTGGCACTACCATAAGCCTCTCTGTGTCGCACCTACCACACATGTAATTTTTTCTTATTTGTGTAATGCTTCTTTTTCTCTATTAAAACATAAGCTCCACAAGAGCTAGAATCCCATCTGATTTTGCTGACTGGTGTATTCCACTATCTAATAGAGTGCCTGGCACATCGTAAGTACTCAGTAAACATTGTTGAAAGAATTAATACTTAGTGTTAGTCGTGGATTCTGTGTGAATTCTGCTCATGGTGGGGATCTGCATAATTTTTCCGGTAGGCGTTACTTTTGTGGTCTGTGAATTTTTGGGCATTTATTTAGATATCATAACCCCGTACTCCCAGATAACTTTAGAGAAACTATAGTTTCAGAATAAAAATTATCAAACATGTTTTTAATCTTCTTTACCTAGATTAAAAAATTTAAAGTAATATAAATTTGGTCTTCAAATTAAGATACATGTTTCTATTGTGTTGAAGAATAAAATATACAGACAGTTAATGAACTCCAAAATCAGAAAATTTAATTGAGAGAGCCACTCTGGAAGTAAAGCCCTCCGTCTGCATTAGTTATTTCTCAATCAGCCATGATGTCCAGAACTAGGATCAAAGGACTGGGTTCTTTCTAGTTTGAAAGGAAGGATTTGCAAATGGAAAACATTAGGATTAGGGTTAATAACTTAAAAATCATAAAGGTTCTTTGTCAGGATTGTTCTAGGGCAGCATCAGCCAATATAAATATAATGTGATCCAAATGTAACCCGTATATGTAATTGTAAATTTTCTAGTAAGCCATATTAAAAAAAAAAAAAGACAAAATGTATTTCAATAATATCTAAAAATATTGTCATTTCAGCATGCACTCAGTACAAAATAAGTTTGAGATATTTTACATTCTTGTCTTTGTACTGTGTCTTCAAATTATAGTACAGCTCAGTTCAGACCAGCCACATTTCAAGTACCCATTAGCCACATGTAGCTAGCGTTGTTGTTTTTTTAAGTTAAAGAACATTTTTTTGTTTTTTTTCTTCTTTAAATATGTTTTCATTTGCATGCCTTTTATTTTTTAATAATTTTTTATTTTTCAAATTTTTCAATTACAGTTGACATACAATATTATATTACTTTCAAGTGTACGACATAGTGATTAGACATTTATATAACTTATATAGTGGTCACCCCAATAAATCTAACACCGTACATAGTTATTACAAAAGTAATAGTACCCATCTGACACCATACACAGTTATTACAATATTACAGACTATATTCCTTACGCTGTACCCGACATCCCCATGACTTCTGTAACTACCAATTTGTACTTAATCCCTTCCCCTTTTTCACCTACCACCCCAACTCCCCTCCCATCTGGCAATCATCAAAATGTTCTCTGTATCTATGAGTTTGTTTCTGTTCTGTTTGTTCTATTTGTTTGTTTTTTACATTCCACATATAAGTGAAATTATATGGTATTTGTCTTGCTCTGTGTGATTTCTTTTATTTAGCATAATACCCTCTAGTTCCATCCATGTTGTCGAAGATTTCCTTTTTATGGCTGAGTAATAATCCATTGTATGTATGTACTACCTCTTCTTTATTCATTCATCTATTGATGGACACCTAGGTTGCTTCCATATCTTGACTATTGTCAACAATGCTGCAATGAACGTGGATGTATACGTCTTTTAATTAGTGTTTTGGATTTCTTTGGATAAATATCCAGAAGTGGGATAACTGGGTCCTTCTTTATCCCTTGTTATAGCATTTGTTTTAAAGTGTACTTTATCTGGTATAAGTATTGGTACCCCACCTTTTTTCTTTTTTTCTTTTTTTTCATTTCCATTTTCATAAAATACCTTTTTCTATCCCTTTACTTTCATTTCAGTCTATGTGTGTCTTTGGATCTGAAGTGAATCTCTTATAGGCAGCATATGTAAGGGTCTTGTTTTCTTATCCATTCAGCCAACCTATGTCTTTTGATTGGAGCATTTAATCCATTTATATTTAAAGTAATTATTAATAGATATGTAGTTATTGCCATTTTATTCTATTTTTATCTTTTTTTCTTCTTAAAGAAGTCCCTTTAACATGTCTCGTAATACTGGTTTGGTGGTGATGAACTCCTTCAGCTTTTTCTTGTCTGGGAATCTATCTGTCCTTCGATTCTAAATGATAGCTTTGCTGGGTAGAGTAATCTTGGTTGTAGGTCCTTGCATTTCATCACTTTGAAATTTCATATCAGTCCCTCTGGCCTGCAAATTTTCTGTTGAGAAATCAGCTGACAGTCTCACTGGAGCTCCCCTGTAGGTAGCTAATTGCTTTACTCTTGCTCTTTTTAAGATTCTGTCTTTCACCTTTGGCATTTTAATTATGATGTGTCTTCGCGTGGGACTCTGGGTTCATCTTGTTTGGGAATCTCTGCACTTCCTGGGCTTGTATATCTATTTCCTTTGCCAGATTAGGGAAGTTTTCCATCATTATTTCTTCAAATAGGTTTTCAGTTGCTTGCTCTTTTCTCCTCTGGTATGCATATGATGTGAATTTTGTTACGCTTGATATTGTCCCAGAGACCCCTTCAACTATCCACATATTTTTGGATTCTTGTTTCTTTTTGTTGTTCTGATTAGGTGTTTTATGCTACTTTATCTTCTAAATTGCTAATTTGGTCTACTGCTTCATTTAATCTACTGTTGACCCCTAGAAAGTATTCTTCATTTCAGTTATTGTGTTCACTTATGACTGGTTCTTTTTTATGTTTTCTATCTCTATTTTTATGTTTCCTATCTCTTTGTTGAAGTTCTCCCTGAGATCATTGAGTAGCCTTATAAACAGTGTTTTGAACTCTGCATCTGGTAGATTGCTTATATCCATTTTGTTTAGTTCTTATTTAGGAGCTTTGTTTTGTTCTTTTATTTGGGACATGTTTCTTTGTCTCCCCATTTTGGCTGCCTCTCTGTGTTTGTTTCTATGTACTAGGTAGAGCTGCTATGTCTCCTGGTCTTAGTAGAGTGGCCTTATGTAGTAGGTGTCCTGTGGAACTCAGTGGTGCAGTCTCCCTGGTCACCTGAGCTGGGCACTGCAGGTGTGTCCTTTGTGTGGGTTGTGTGTGCCCTCCTGTTATAGTTTAGCCTTGGTTACTGTTTGCACTTCAGTGGGAGGGACTGACCCTCAGGCTGATTGGTTGTGAGGATTAGCACTGATTACAGTGGAGGAGCTGACCCTACAATTGTTGTGCAGGGGCTGATCCTACAGAGTAGGATTCACTTTAGCAGGGCTGTGGTGTCAGCCAGGCCTGCCCTTTGGGTGTGTTGTTTGTGGAGGTGGTTGGGTGGTGCTCCACTGTGGCCTGAAGCTGGTCACCAGGTATGTTCGTTCTGGGAATTCTTAGGAGGAGTTCCGGTGCAGACCAAGATCAGCCACTACCTGAGCCCTGCCTGGGGCCATTTCCTATGAAGTACAAAGTGATGGGCAGATTGTTGCCACTTGTGCTGGGTTTGGAGGTGTCTGGGAGAGGCCAGGCATTGAAGGAAAGCCAGCTGCCACTCGTGCCAAATTGGGGCTGCTTAGAAAGAGGTACAGGGCACGCCAAGGCCAGGTGCTGCTTGTTTGGAGTTTGTGACCCTTTGAGAGATTTTAGGGAAGTGCTGCATGAGTCAAGACAGGCCATTGGTATGGCAGGTCACTGGAAGGGCCTTGGGTGGGCTTGCAAGTTGGGTGGGGCAGGGTGAACCATGTTAGCCAGGTTGATG